AACACGGCCCAAGAGATTGCTCAGGAACCCTGATGGAGCCACTGGAGGATCCCTACAGGTCGGAGAGGGCCCCCGAAGGCCCCAAGACGGGCTCAGGTCCCCATAACGGGCGAAGAGGGACCCGGAACGGCCGAACTGGGCTCCCAGAAGGGCCAACAAAAAGCTTCCCAGGACTCCCTGAAGACGGTCCAGGAGGCCGCTGAGAAAGCTCCCAGGTGCAACAAAGCTATCTTTTTCAATGGAAAAACGTAAATTTCTATGATATTCACTTCTTATGTTCCATCGGCGGCCACGTCGGCCCCAAAGGCTCCTCGAATCGGCGCCACACGGTCCACGAGTCCCCCAAGAGGGCTCAAAGACAGCAAGAGAGCGTCGAGCAGCACAAGAGAGCTTCAAAACAGCCCGAGAGAGTCCCCAGGGGACCCGAGGGAGCCACCACAAGATCCCTACATGATCGGAGAGGGCTCTATGAGGGCCCCAAGACGGCTCAGCTACCCATGACATGCCAAGATGGGCGTGGGACAGCCGAAATGGGCTCCCAGACGGGCCACAAAAGGCCGAAAAGGACCCCCCCACGACAGTCCAAGAGGCCGCTGAGAAGGCCCTCCAAAGGCAACATCAAGCACTTCCTATTGAAAGCGTATATTTCTGGGAGCTTCGCTTTTCAGTTCTACCAGCGGTCGCGACGGCCCAAGAGGGTACCAAAATGGGCCCCAGACGGCCCCAGAGGCCCCAAAGAGGGTTCCAAGATGGGCTGAAGAGAGCCCAAGAGAGCCCCCAGGAAGCCCGAGGGGGCCACCAGAGGATTCCTACATGGTCGGAGATGGCCCCAGGAGGGTCCCAAGACGGGTTGAGCTCCCCACGACGAGCCAAGAGGGACCCGGAACGGCCGAAATGGGCCCTCAGACGGGCCAACAAAGGCCCCAAAGGACTTCAAAGGAAGGCCCGAGAGGCTCCAGAGACTGCCACAATGCTTCCAAAAAGCCACCGGCACGCGTTCCAGTAGTCACCCGTGTACTGGGTGCGTTGAGAGAAGGAGTAGGAGGACAAGGAGTAGGATGATGAGGAGGAGGAGGAGAAGCAGGAGGAGAGGGCGGAGGATTGTTATGATTGTTATGGTGAAGGTGACCATGACCATGACGATGACGATGAAGATGACGGGGATGAGGATGACAATGATGACGATGATCGTGACCCGAGCTAGAACTTGAGCGCGCGCGAAGCGCGCGCGATGGTTCTAGTATGGCGGATCAATCGTGAGGATGGAATCGCATGGACTGTGAGGTTGAGTAACTAGTATGGCGGTCACTTGTGAGTGTCACTTGTGAGTAGGAACGCACACAACAGAAAATACATGAATATAGAATTGAAGACGCCTACGGCGAGTCACCGCTGCCCCCTGCGTTTTAGGAAACGCCCATGTGGCCAATCCTTTGGGCAACATTTTGCCATGCTGTTGGCCCTTCGGGAAGGGGAGGATAAGGAGAGGGAGTCTCGGCATCCTTCCACGCCTCAACGTGACAAGGGGCACGGTTGCGGCTCTAGGCAATACACATCTATGTAGGTAGTGCTGCACGCGTGTCTATATCTAAACCTGTATATCCACCAAGACATACACATCCACAATCACGCACACGTCCATACATTGTACATTACACGCGACCACACACGCATTAGATATGCATTGAGCAGTGCATGCCCACAGGCGTATCCGTGCTTACATACGTATATGAGCATACCTGTATGCGTACATGTATATGTGCATGCAGATGAACCGGGGGTTGTGGCCTGATGCGTTACACGTCATAGCAATTGAGAAGCGCTGTGTATACGCATTCGTATACGCGCAACTACACATGCATATCGGAATATGCACACGCATAACCACTTACACGAACGTATGGTGCATTTTCCTTTTCGTGCATGCGTATGTCTATGGTTCGCGAGAGAGAGAGAGAGAGAGAGAGAGAGAGAGAGAGAGCGAAAGAAAGAGAGACAGAGAGAGAAAGCGAGAGAGAGAGAGAGTGAGCGACAGAGAGAGAGAGAGAGAGAGAGATAGAGAGAGAGCGAGCGAGGGCGGGGGAAGAGGGGGAGGTGGGCTAGGGACGGGCGTGATAGGTGACGCAGGTGACAGAGAAAGAGGGCCACAGAGGAGGTGCCCTCTCTCCGACCCCCTGGGGCTGAAGCTGCGAAGCAAGGAAGGAAGGGCTCGCAGGACCCTGCTCTCCCTCACAGAGCGGTTGAAGCGCTTCCCGCTTCTGCCGCTCCTCCTTGCCATGGTTCTTGTTCTCCTCGCCCGCCCCCCCTCCCTCCCCCTCTCCCCCCTCTCCTCTCCTCGTTCTCTTCCTGTCAGTCGGGAGCCTGGGCCACATCCCTGGTGCCCAGGATGACCCTACGCATCGTATTCGGTACAATGCTGCATGGTGGGCGTTCTGCATAGAAACGTTCTGGAGCGAACGCCTTGTCTAGGGCCTGCTGTTCAGTCGCCGCGCATGGCTGATAGTTGCAGTTTTCCCTCGAAATGCAAACGCAGGCAAACATATTCACATTAGGTGTATGGTGTGCCTGGCCAGCAGAACAGGTTCTGGCCCTGACCACGTGCTCAGTCGTTTGGAAATAGCACGTAATTAGTTGCAGTGGTTAGTTCTGGAGGTGTCGCTAGCATCGGCGACGTTCGGTCTTTTGCTACGTCGGTATCATCCAATCCTTGCTCGTCCTATTCCGCCTCGCCAGAGAGTTGGCAGCTAGGGGGCCCTTCAATCCTCCTCCGAGGTCTGCTGCTGTTGCTGGTGCTCCCTCCTCCTTGGGCCCCCCCCCCTGTCTTTTGGACTTTCCTCGGAGGGCCAGGCCCCTTGCAGGTTTTCCTGGAGACGCGCGCAGGTTTCCTGCTCGGGAGCGTAGGGGCCCCCCGGAGGCGCGCGAGGTCGCGGCCTGCGCCTTCGGGGCTCCCCGAGGCTGCCGGCGAGGTCCTGCATTTTGACACCCGGTTGGCGTCCGCTTGGCTCTCTCGGGCCGTAAGAGCCGGCTACACGTGGTGACCTCTGGTGAGGGCCCACTGGGGTCCCCCGATCGCGGAGCGCGATGCTGCAGCGTGGAACGACGACTCTCGGAGCCTGCTGTTTCCGAGTCCGAGTCGTGCCGCCGTCGTCCTCCCCAGGCGTGCACGCCCACGCCAGGGGGCGGGCTGGGGCCCGTGCGCTCGCTTCCAGTGCCGGCAGAGGAGGCGGCATCCCAGAGGAACCTTGGGTGGGGCATGCTGGGGAATCCTGCGGAGCGCTGCTGTTGGGCTCGCTGGTGAGCGCGTTGGGCGGGTCGTAGCGTGACTTCGTAGCACGCCGCGGGGAAGACAGGTGAAGCTGCCTTCCTGTGGTCCCTCGGGCGCCAGCTTTTTGCCTGGTGATGCTGCGAGGCATCGACGGTCAGCGCCCTGGAGTCGTTCTATGTTCTATGTTATAGCTTCTCCTCCTCCTCTTCCATCGGCATCACCCAAACGTACTGCAGCCAACCCGCATGGTAAGGATGACCGACTTTCCAAGTTCGCCGTTGCATCCTGCCCCTTCGGCCCATCCTTGGCCGCTTTGGCTCGCAAAGTGTTGACATGGCCTTCCGAGGCCCTTGCATCCTTACCGTGCGTCCTTACTATCTGGGTTGACTGTAATACTATGTGTGCGTCTGCACCCCAGGGTCGACGCACGCGCTGAGGAATCCTATGATATGTGCTAAAAGATGCCTGTACTATTGTAGTGGCCTCTGGCCAGTGCCGCCGATCCGGGGCGCTCCTGATGCTCGTGGAACTGGGGGAGTGCGGGAGTATATTCGGAACCCTGGGGACTCTTGGGGGATCCTTGGGAACCCTGGGGGAATCTTGGGAAATCGTGAGTGCCCAAAGGAATCCTAGAGAATCTCTGTGAGAATTTGGAGAATCCTGAGAGATCCTGGGGGATCCTGGAGAATCCTGGGGGATCCTGAGGAGTTCTGATGCTGGGCTCGTTGGTGGGTGGTTGGGCGTTGGGCGTGTCGTAGCGTGAATTCGTAGCACCCCGCAGCAGCGGATAAGAACGAGGAGGGGACCTTCTGGGAGTGGGTGGCCCCTCCCTGTGGGCGGGGGGACCCGCCTGGGGGAGGAGGGGGTTCCGCCCCTGTGGAGGTGGTGCCGCGGACGCCAGGGGGGGAGCCTTCTTGCTGTGGACAGGGGGAGCCAGGGACGCCGGAGGGGGTGTGGGGGGGTGCTCTCTCCCCCTGGTTCTGGGGGACTCCCTGGGACCGCCCCTCACATATCATATTCGGAATCGGCTAATCAATAGTTGCCAAAATGGGACCCCCAGTAGGAGAGGCCCAGAAACGGGAGAGACCTCTCGGACCGCCTCGTTCCCCGGCAGAGCCACCCCGGCACCCCCCCACCAGAGCTGAAGGTCCCCCAGGGGGGGCCGGATACTGGAGGACCCCCCCCCCCCTTTCCAGGTAGAGCCCCCAGCCCCCCCGCCCCCCACAGCAGAGCTGAGGGTCCCCCAAGGGGGGTCCCGGAAACCAGGAGAAACCCGACCCGCCCCTCCCTTCCCCGGTAGAGCGCCCCCCAAGCGCCCCCCCCCCCTAGCAGAGCTGAAGCGCTCAAGCTCAGGCTCTTTTGAACTCACGCGCCAGATCGGCTCTGGTCGGACGCACGCCTCCAAGGAGGACACATCGCATCATATCTTTGGGAAGAGACATTCCTGGGAGCCTTGCCCAGCGGGCTTGTCCAGAGGGGTTGTCTGAATCCCCGCTGGTTTTTCCAAGGGGTTGTCCAGGTAGGTTGTTTCGCCGTCATTCTCCGCATGGGTTGTCCGGGTGGTTCGAGGGATTGTCCGGGGATTTACTGGATCGCATTATTTAATCGCTTCGCTCATTCCGCTGACCCATATTGCCTCGCCGCTGTCGTTTGTCGGGGTGTTGTTGTCAATGCGGTGCCGCTGGGCGGCTGCCATTTTTTGGAGGCGGTGAGTGGTGGGTCAGAGGCCTCATGGATGTTGGTTGAGCTCTCGTGGTTGGCCTCTCGGGGGCCTCTGGGAGGCAGTTTGTGTAGGCCTCTTGGGGGCCGTGTTGGGGCCTCTTGAGGTTTTCTGGATCGCATCATTCTCCGTTGAACATATTCCCAGACATGCGACGTCTGGATTTTTTTCAGGACGGGTTACCTAGAAGTCCCGACCCTTTCCCCGGGACCGGTTTTTCGTCCTGAGTCGTTTTTTTGACGGTCCCGAGGCCCAGCGAGGGCCCCCAAGGGCCGGAAATAGCCAACAAAACTGGCCGCCCTGGCCTTCTTACGATGCCAATCATGTCTGGGCTATAGTCTGCCCGTCTGCCTCCCGTTCCAGGCCGGGCGGGGCGGCGTCGGGGAGGGCGACGCGCCCGGCAGGCGTCGCGTGCCTCCAGTCCACCAGCGACGCCACCAGGCGCCGCCGCCGCCGCCCACGACCCGCGGCCCGCCGCCTGGCCTCGGGCACTGCCAGCAGGGGTCGTGTGGGGATCCCCGCCCCCCCCTCCCCCGCCCCCTGCCTCTGCCTCCTCCCCCCTCCTCCCTCCTCTCCTCCCTCTTCAGCTCCTCCTCCTCCCCCATTCTTTTCCTCCCTCGCTCCCCCCCTCCCTCCCTCCCCCCCCCCTCCTCCTTCCTCTTCTTTTCCTCCCTCCACCTCCGGCCTCCGACCTTCTCCCTCCTCCCTCCTCCCTCCTCCTCCTCCTCCTCCTCCTCCTCCTCCTCCTCCTCCTCCTCCTCCACCTCCTTTTCCTTCTCACCTTCCTCCTCCTCCTCCTCCTCCTCCTCCTTCCTCCTCTTCCTCCTCCTCCTCCCAATCACAAGCGGCCCGAGGCGTCTCCATAGCCATAGCCGTTTAGCATTTCGGCTGCCGGATTGCCTCGCCGTCGCGTCCCCACGCCTTGTCGCGGCGTGCCTGCAACTAATGGAATTGGCGGCTTTGGCACGATTTGTTGGTAACACGTGTGAGTCAGGCTGATTTTCCTCAGGAGGAGGAGGAGGAGGAGGGGGAGGAGGAGGAGAAGGGGGATGAGGAGGAGGAGGATGAGGAGGATGAGGAGGAGGAGGAGGAGGAGGAGGGGACGCTGTTTGAGAGGGACGCTGTTTGAGAGGGGGGACGCTGTGATCTTGGAGTCGTCGCGGACGCCGTAGCCATTTTGGCTCAAGCCATTTTGGCTCAAGTGTTCGTGCTCATACTCCTCTTGTATTTTCCCTCTGCCCCTACAATTTGTATTCCCATATTGTATATTTAGCTTACACTTCGACTTCGCATCCATGCCTTCTTCAGGTACCCCTGTGAAGCAGCTGTTCAAGATAGAGCAGCATAACATCGGTTCGCCGTTATCTACCCGATCGCTGGCTACGCCTGCAGCAAAAGCTGCTCGTGTTATGAGCCCGCTGAATGAGATGGATGGGCTGGACGTGCAATTTCCAGAACAAGGAGGAGCTCCAGGAGCAGCATCAGAACCAGGAGCTGGCAGCGCCGAACCTCTAATCACTCGCCAGTCACAGTTCGAGCAGGACATCGTGGCCGCTGCCGGCACCGAAGGTCAAGACAAAGGAAAGGGAAAACATACGGACGGACCTTTGATTTTGGCAGCTATTGGCGTGCTCATTGCAGAACACCTACGACCAATTCAACAAGACATAGCGGCAAGTAAGCTTCATGGAGTTTCCCGTAACGACTTGCTGGAAGCAACACGGCCGCTTAAAGCCTCGATCGAAGAAGTAATTACGAAGTTCGAGAACGAAAGTGAGGACATTGACATACGCGTTACCAACATGGAGAACAGCATTAACGAGCGCATCGACAAGATCCAACACGACTTGGAACACATCGCATCTTGCACTCCACGATCGGCGTCCGGCAAATCGCAACATTCTGCTGACACTTACCATTACAACGGCATCGCGCAGTTACAGCAGTAATTGGTAACTTAAACAATTTCGACGACGACGCGGCAGCAGCAGTTTTCTCCCCGACAGATTGTCGTCGATGGGCGGCCCTATCCCTAAAAGTATTCTATGCGAAAGGCGAATTTAGGAACATCATTTTCGAAGAGTTTGAAGCCACGCTGGACCAGGACACTGCCGTTGCGTTGTTGCGGAGTGCGAACATCAAGCGTGGCATGAACACTGTATGGCCGTCGCCGGACAGGGAGCCAGCAGAACGTGCCGCACGCAATTTTTGTTTCGGTCTCAAACACATTTTGAAGAACGATTTGGACAATCAGTATATTGTTCGTGTTTCTGAAGAGTTTCCTTTCCAAGAATGTGGGAGGGAGAATGGAAAACTTGGGATGAGTTGCGCAAGCACCCCAAGCTTATGGAACTAACGCAGAAATGCGATCATATTCTGCAGGGCACAACAACAAGTAGGAAATGCGGCGGGCGCTGGGTATCAGTTCGAACCATATGTTTTTGACGGCCAGCGCCAGAGCCGACCAGCAGCAGTCGAATTTGGATGTTTTTGCTATTGCTGAAAGGATTCTTGGATCATGTAGTTCCTTAAGGCGCGGAATCCGGATCCCTGAAAACCGATTGCGATTCGGACGAGGTCAAAGATGTCGATTCTGCAGCTGGCAATGGGACGAGAATGGGCAAAGATGCCTTCTTGCAGCCACCTGTGGGATCCTCAGTGCCTCGTTCCACCAGCACTGCCGCACCAACCACAGGCTCTTCATTGCAGCGTGTTCGTCCTCTACGCGCCCAGCGTGGGAACCTTCCTAACTGTAGCGTCTCCCGTGCTGGTTCCGATTGTGACTCTGATCCGGATGGAGTCCCTTAGTTTCCTAATCTTCAAGCGCAGTTTTATCCTCGAGAACGCCAGCAACCTCCTACATACCATCTCTCCAGTTGTCCCTACTTTTGTTCTTTCACATCATCGGCAGCAAGAGCGCCACCGGAAGCTGAAGGCACATGTCGTGCTGGATGCGGCTCCCGGCGCGGACGCAGATGGGCATGCCGTCGGCGAGTCCACCGATTTTCGTGGTCAGGGCAAAGTTACCTCCACCACATGCGTTTCACCATTTTCCTGTTCATCCAGATTCTTAGGCTTGCGCCACACCGCCGACCCCTTGTTTATGCCAATCTGGGGGTAGTAGAAGCTGCGAAGGGGTGAAAAGCGATTTTTGGAGCCACTTGGGGGCCGTTTCGGAGCCTCTGGGGTGCTTCTTGGGGGTTCTTTGGGGCGTCTGGGCGGCCTCGTGAGGGCCTCTGGGGGCCTCTTGGGGCACTCTTGGGGCCCCCTGGGGCTCTTGGGGGCAGAAAGCTAGAGTTTCAACATGTTTGGTCGCCCTCTTGGGCCCCTCTTGGTGCCGTCTTGGAGCCCTCTTGGGCCGTCTTGGGGACCTCTTGGGCCGTGTTGGGGCCGTCTTGGGCCGTCTGGAGGCCGTCTTGGGGGCCTCTTGGGCCATCTTGGGGCTTTCTTGGGGGCCTCTTTGGCCGTCTTGGAGCGTCGGGAAGCCGAAAAGGCGGAAAAGCAAAAAACATAGAAAAACACTATGGAAAATCAACAATTTTAGACTCTTGGGGTCCTCTTGGGAGGCTTGTTTGGGACCTCGGGGGCCGTCTTGGAGACCTCTTGGCCCGTCTTGGGGCCATCTTGGGCGTCTTGGAGCGGTCGTTTTGCGTCTCGGGGCCTTCGTGGGCCGTCTTGGAGGCCTCTTGGGGGCTTCTTGGCCCGTCTTGAGGCCCTCTTGGGCCCGGAAAAGCCCCGTGAACCGCTCGTCCCGGCCGTGCTGCGCTCGCGCCGGACCCCCCCCCCCCCCTCCAAATCGACCGGACCGGGCTCCCGGGGGAGGGGTTTGGGGAGGGGGAAGCATCTCGCACGCCGATGATCCCCAAGGGGTCTTTCACCATTTTCCTGTTCATCCAGATTGTCTTGGAGTAGTACCTCTAACATAGAGAAGCACGACACTCCGCCACATATTAACACTAGTTAGGGCAAGCCTCGCAGAATGTGCCGCCCGCTGCAAACGCAGACGTTCGCCACGTGGAACGTGGAAGGCCTCAGAGGGGATTCGATCGTCAAGTTTGTGGAGCTTACGGAGATGATGAAAAGACGATGTATAGCTGTTCTGTGCATCCAAGAAACTCATCTCCACGGTGCGGAATATTACACAAACGACAACGGATTCTTGGTATGTTTATCTGGGGAGCTGGACGAGGAGGCTCGATCTGACGCAGGCGTTGGTTTCATAGTTTCCCCACGGGCCTTTTCTGCAATAGTGGCTTTCCGGGCGTGCTCGTCGAGATCAGCATCTTTACGAATCAAAGTGGTGGGAGGTATGATCACGGTACTATCTGTGTACGCCCCGCATGGCGGGCTCGACGTGGACGACCGGCTGGACTTCTGTTCCGACTTCCAGGGGTTGGTCAGACCTACGACGTGCCATAGTACCACAGTGGCACTGGGCGACTTCAACGCCAGGCTATTGAAGCGAAGGGTCGGGGAACACAAAATACTTGGGGAGTGCGTTTTCGAATCGCATCCTTCGAAGAAGGCGACCACTGTTGTCACCAACCGCCAATTATTATTAGAATGTTGTGTTAGTGCAGACATGGCCATTGCAAATACATTCTTCGATTTACCAGCTGGCGAGTTGGCGACGTACCGAGATCTTGGGACATCCCCAACACAAGCGGTTACACCCGATCTTTTTGCTCAGTTGGATTTTGTTTTGTGCCACCAATCTATACTTCCACTGGTGGGGAGATGTCAAGTACGCCAGGAAGAAGCTCTCAACGCCCACCACTACTTGTTGGAAGCGGACTTCGCCTTTCAATTCCCTGCCGCGCGCAAATCTCACCCTCCACGGCGCGACGTTTCCTCTTTGGTTGGCCCGGACGTGGAAGCAGCGTTTATTTCAAGGTTTTCCGAACACTGGGAATATACTGGGGAATGTGCGACTTCAGACTCCATGGAGGCTAAATTGACATCTGCGTTCGCCGCGGCATTAACGGCGTTGCGAACACGTGCTGTCGCATCCCGGCGTCCATGGATATCCCAGCCCGCACTGAATTCGATTGAAGAGAGGAACAATCACCGACATGCCGGTAATTACGACGAGGAGATGGCCATGAACAAATCAATCAGGAATGCGGGCCAGAGGGATAAGCAAATTTGAATGGGACGGGCACTGGTTGGAGGGAGCTGGGAGGCAGTGCGGAAATTGCGAAGACCCGTTGCGAGGAAGCGCGCTGGCTTTCGACGTATGGACGGGCACGTGACGGACACAGCTGAACGACCAGACGTTCTTGCAGACTACTTTGAACAAGTGCAATGGCAAGTTCGTTTTGCAGAGTTGACGCCTGCAGCTAATCAAGTTTTGGGCCCGACTTTGAACGTTGACGTAACTGCTTTTACTATCACTGAGCTCCAGCGTACTCTCCCCAAGGTGAGGGGCAGAAAGGCGGCAGGGCCAGGCGATGTCCCCCCAGAGTTCTGGAAGATCATTGGTAAAAGCAATGGCGCCTGCAACGCGCTACTGGAGAGATGCCAAACGTGCTGGAGGGAAAAAGACTTGCCCAAAAGCTGGAAGAGAGCTAACGTAACTCTGCTATTTAAGAAGGGAGACGCGACGCTGCCCAGCAACTACCGTCCCGTATCTTTGCTTACTGTCGTGTACAAGACGCTCGCGGCGATGCTGCATATGAGGCTTCTCGGAGGAGAAGCAGAAGACATGATTCGACAATCTCAATTCGGCTTCCGGCCGAGACGCGGCACGGCGGCAGCATTATAGATAAGCCGGAGAATGGTGGACGCAGCTCATCGAGACAAAGGCAACGGATTGATACTTATTTTTGGACTGGGCAAAAGCTTTTGACCGCGTCAAGCCAGATTGCTTATGCAAGGCATTGGTACTTTTTGGCATTCGGGATCCTATGGTGGGCATGATCCAGGGAATCTACGCGCGCAGATATTTTACGATAGTGGACCATTGCGGCCGCTCAAGTGAAAGGAAACAAATGGCGGGCATCGCCCAGGTTTGCCCATTGTCCCCATACTTGTTCATCAGTGTACAAACCGTTCTTCTCCACGACGTTTTCTGATCTGGCACTTGCGGAGGAGCCAGAGTGCGTCGTCACCAGAGACCTCCTCTACGCGGACGACACTCTGCTCGCGTCAACCCACGCCGGCAACTTAGAACAGATGTTGAGCAACATCGTTCTGGAGGGTCAAAAATACGGCATGGAGTTGAACTGGGACAAGACCGCGCAGTTACAAGTTGGTTGCCAGAGTACGCTTCAACAGCCTAGTGGGGGTCCTATCAGAAGCGTCAGAGAAGCGATCTACTTGGGAGGGCTTGTATCCTGCGACGGCCAGGCAAACAGCGAACTCTTGAGACGGATCGGCGAGAGCACGAACCTACTCAGACAGCTTCAGAAGTGGTGGGCTCATACATCCATTGGCCGGCATCGCAAATCACATAGCTATGGGAGTTGTGTGATCAGTAAGTTGTTCTATTCTCTGGATTCTTGATGGTTGTTGAAGGCAGAGAGGGATCGGCTTGATGCTTTCCCACGGTAAGTGTTTACGCAAGATCCTCGGTATTCCGCATTCATTTGCACCTCGGATCTCTAACGCGACCGTTCTGGAGAAGGCTGAGTCGCTGCCTTTGTCACAGGTTTTGCACGAGAAACAGATTGCACTGTACAGGAATATCGCAGACCAGCCACTTAATTCGTTAATGCGACGTCTCGTGTGCAACCCGGATGGCACCCCAAAAGACTGGGCACGCCGCCGCGGCAGAGGGCGCCCGCGACAGCAGTGGGCGAAGTCAGCGTTTGTCTTGGAGCAGGTGAATTTGTGACCTCCCCTGTCTTGCTGCCCTCCTCCTTCTCCTCCTCCTCCTCCTACTCCTCCTCCTCATAGCTGGCGTGCTAATTGTATGTATATTATGCGTCACCGTCGTGAGGCGCTTTGTGCTTCTGCTTCACAGTCGTGTCGCACTCCGTTTTCCGCCGCGCGCTATCGCAACACGGAGGTGATTTTTTACACCTACAGGCAGGCGCACCGCCAAGCATCGGCCTAATAGTGATCCGGATGCTTTTGCCAACGCGTCTTACAGATGCACGGCTTCTGACCTGACCGGGACGCTTTTTGGAGCTGACGTGCCCTCTGGGGGGGTGCCTGGAGCGGTCCCAAGGGGGGGGGTCTAGGGAGGGTTCCGAGGAGGGGGGTCCCTGGGACCCCTCGAAACATCCGGGGGTGCGCAAATCATTAAGACAACGCCAGATGGGGGACTGTCCCCACCTCCCCTCACCCCTTTCCCTGGGGGGGGGTCCGGGGAGGGTTCTGAGGGGAGAGTCCTGGGGGAGAGTCCCTGGTCCCTCCCGAAACATTTTGGGAATGCGCAAATCATTGAGAAATCGCCGGATGGGGGACCGCCCCCCCGCCCCCACCTTCCGCGCGCCCTCCCCAGCAGAGCCACCCCGGCGACCCCCCCCCAAGCAGAGCTGAAGCTCTTGCTCAGGCTCAGAGCTGAAGCTCTTGCTGAGGCTCCCTCTAGCTCACACGCAGGATCGGCGGAGCAATCCGAGCGGGCCATCCGAATCAGGCAACTGCCTTCACTTTCGGGCCCCTGAGCCTTGAATCTGGAGGAAGTCTCGAACGGGAGCCCCGTCTGGGAGTGAGATGCGAGGAAGCTTCAGGCGGGAGCCCCCCCCCACACGGGGCCAGCAGATCATGTTATGAATCCGAGCAGGCCATCCGAATCAGGCAACTGTCTTCACTGTCGGGCTCCTGAGCTTTGAATCTGGAGGAAGTCTCGTGCTGGAAAGTGCGAGGAAGTCCTAGGCGGGAACTGTGTTCCCTATTGGGCCCGCAAGTGATTTTTTAGACCCGAAGTCAAAGCGGGTCATCCGCTGTGATTGTCGTCATTTCCGTGCCTGCTTCAGGGCGAGAAGAAGAATGACGCAGCAGAGACAGTAAGCGCGTCACCAATCACTAGGACGACGATGAGGGCCATTTCCAGATTAGCCGAGAGGATTCTCATGTGGGGTCCTTCGGAGTAAGTTGATTGTTTTTGTTGCGTCTCTAGGTCCTGCTGATCCTCCAGCCGATCTCACTCCAACTACTGCTACCGCTGTTCCTCATCCTCATCCTCCCTCCCTCCCCTCTCCCTGCCGCCTCCCTTCTCCCTCTTCCCCCCTCCCTCGACCTGAGGCACCCCCTCACTGTACCCGAAGTCTGTGATTAGCAGAACGTGTTCCCAGTTTTTACGCCCTCTGGTGGCACTCTAGTCTTGAGGCGTCGCTGGGTTTGATGGGGGCTTGCCCCTTTCCAATGCCGCCTCATGCAGCCTCTCGCCTCCCCGCCTCGGCATCACCCAACGATGCTACGATGGGGGCGTTCGTTAAGGAATGTGCCCAGGGGGCTTCAGACCCTGGAGGATTCCTTAGCTGATGAGGGCGGCGGTGATATCCATGGCCAGTCCACGATTGGGGTTCCACCAGCTTCCAAACCCTGGATTTCGTATGTAATGGTTCCTTACCCGATGTCCTCACCGCATTGTACCAGTGTGTCCTTCTGCGTCCCACTCCCCACCATGCCCTCCTTTTCCTCGCGGTGGGTCGGCGCTCGCCTTCCGTCCCCGGCTGCCCCGCGGCCTGTCCCCGTGGGCTCCTTCGGTAGCAGATCATGGGAGCCTGGTGTGCCCTCCAAATTCAGTCTTTAGCGTCGATTAGCGTCGATTAGCGTCTGGGGGTCGATGAGATAACGCCGATCTAGCATCGGTTAGCGTCGATTCGCGCCGATTTTGCCTCGATTAGCGTGGATTTAGCGTCGACCAGCGCCGATTCGCAAGAGCCGACGAGATGGTGTGGGAGGTTCCCCTGAGTTGCCACCGAACGGCTGCCCAGCGGTCCATCCCGGTGGGCTCCCGCGGCCGCGACGCGGTACGCCTTGCGAGGCTCGGTCTTCTCCGCCGCAAGGGCTGCGGGGGATGCCGCGCCGCGCCGTCGCACCGAGGGGTCGCTGCAGTGCGGGGCCGCGCCCGTCGAGGCCGAGGTCCTTAGCTTGGCGACACCCCAACCTACTGACACCTTCCCCTTCGCCCTGCTCATCTTCTTCATCCGCACCTCCTTTCTTTCGATCCTTCTCCTCCAAGAAGCCGTTGTTCCTTGCGTTCTCCATCCTCCTCTCTCCTCGCCCCCCCCCCCCCGTCCTTGTCCTCTTTGTGTCGTCCTCCCCCCCCCCTCGTCCTCGCCTCGCCCCGGTCTTCGTCGTCGTCATTCGGCGTCGTCCTCGCCCTCGCCCTCGTCGTCGTCGGCTTCCTTCCGTCCTCGCCGCTCTCCCGCTCTCTCTCGCCCCCTCGCGCCTCTCCCTTCCTCGCACCAGTCTGGGTCAGTGGACCAACCTCCAGAGCACGAGATTTACTTATTCGGACATGCAGACTGGTGTGCCGCCGATGTGGCCCTTTCCGCGAATCTTGTTCCAGAGGCTCGCAGACGGATTGCCACAGGGTGTGCCCGAACAACGGCAGGGCCCTGCATTCACAGAGAGCTTGGGCAGGAAGGCACGCCGAAGAAACTGCAGGCTCCGCTGCGATTTTGAAGCCCTCCTGGCCCCTCGCCCAAGTCGTGAAGGAGCTGCATGGGGCGAGCCGGCCTGCATAGTGCTGCTGGCCCCAGGGGCAATCCGACCTCCTCACCAATCTGTGCGCTGGTACCCCCCTCTCTTTCCCCTTCCTCCCTTCATCCCTTCCTTCCTTTCTCCCCCAATCCCTCGCCTTCGTCTCTCCCTTCCTTCCTTCCTTCCTTCCTCCCTCCCTCCCCTCACCTCGGGCCCGTGGGTACCCGAGTGGGTCCCCACCCCCCTGTGTGGCACTCCTCCTCTCGCCTTCCTTCGTTCCCTGGAGATGATGGGCGCACGATGTTTTTCAACAGGCGATGGTACGTGTGTGTATATGGGGGGCGTGGCTAGGACGAGGCTAATTCCGCTCCATTCCAGAGCGTCCCAGAACGCTCTCAGAGCTTTCCAGAACGCTCTGAGAAGGCCGCGGCGCCCGAGACATCCTCCAGAACCGCCAGATCTTAGAGATTCCCGATGGACCCTCACCCGTTTTGCTCCTCGCCCTGGGTTCGTCTCATGTGAATCAGTGCCGGCCGCGTTCCACTACTGGCAAAGTGCCAACTCGCCAACGTCCGAGAAAGCCCCATGTCTGCCTCGAGGTGATGTATCGTAAATCCCCCCATGGCGGATCCAGGCCGTTTGCGAGCACGTGGCTTGCGAGTAGTGGAACGCGCTGGTCTAGAGTTGGCGCCGGCCCGTGGGCTCTTGAGGAGCGCAACTGGCGCCTGAGCTCTCTCAACTGGCTCGGGCCGAGCAGCTTGCGCCAGCCCTCGCCGCCAGCCCGCAGAAAAGCCCTCCGTCCGGCCGCCGCGCGCTGCTCCCGAGCGCAGGCGCGAGGGCGCCAAGTTCCTGCGCGTCAGGGCGCGGGAGTTCGCAGCCCCAGGCGGCAGGCACCCCAGGCCCGGTTTCTCCATCGACGTCGTACGTCGTCGTCGTCGTCGTCGTCGTCGTCGTCGTCGTCGTCGTCGTCGTCGTCGTCGTCGTCGTCGTCGTCGTCGTCGTCGTCGTCGTCGTCGTCGTCGTCGTCGTCGTCGTCGTCGTCGTCGTCGTCGTCGTCGTCGTCGTCTGTCGTGGTGGTCGTCGCCGTCGCTGTCGTCGTCGTGGTGATTGTCTCCGTCGCCGCCGCCTTGGTCGTGTAGGTTGCCGTCGCTGTCGCCCCAGCCGTCCCCGCCGTCACCGTCGCTGCTGCCGCCACCATAGTGGTTGTCGTGGTGGTCGTCATCGGTGTCGTGGTGGTAGGGATGGATGAGGAGAGGATGGAGGGGGAAGGATGGTGATGATGCTGATGATGATGACGATGATGATGACGATGATGATGATTATGATGATGATGCTGATGATGATGATGATGGTGGGGGTGGTGGTGATGATGGTGATGATGATGATGTTGATGACGATGATGATGATGATACTGATGATGATGCTGATGATGATGAAGATGATGATGATGATGATGATGATGATGATGATGATGATGATGATGATGATGATGATGATGATGATGATGATGATGATGATGATGATGATGATGATGATGATGATGATGATGATGATGATGGATGATGGATGATGATGATGATGATGATATGAATGATGATGATGATGATGAATGATGGTGGTGGTGGTGGTGGTGGTGGTGGCGGTGGTGTTTGGCGTGATGATGATGTTGATGAGGTGGAGGAGGAGGAGGAGGAGGAGGAGGAGGAGGAGGAGGAGGCGGAGAGTGAAGATGGAGGAGGGGGAGGGAGGATGATTGTAACTTGTGAGTATGAGTGTCGAAGGGGGAGGAGGAGGGGTTGGGACAGGCTGGATGATGGGGGCCAGGACGAGGAGGAGGGAAGATGAGGACTAGTTCCCTGGAAGTGGGGAAAGATGAAGGTCCTGGATGGGGAGGGGGGGGGAAGCTCCAGAAGGAGAGGTTGCGCCCACAGGGCCCACCCCAGTCCCCCCCTGCTCCGTCCATGAGTTCTTGTGCGCTCCCGAGCTTTTATGGCGTGTGGTTGGCATCTGACATGCGTATTGCGCCTGTGTGGCGTCCGTACTGCGTCTGTTTCGTGTGGGATTTGCGTACGTGTTGTGTTTACATCGCATTTGCTCCGCGTGTGCATTTCACGCGTGTTGTCTGCGCACAGCACATGCGTTGACTGTGCGTCGCATGCACTCCGCGCTTGTGTATCATTCGGATTGCAGTTGCAATGCGTGTGTGCTGCACGGGATTCTCACTTTACCGCATGCAGACGTTCATGCCAGGACATCGGCACAGCACAGAGAAGAGACACGAGGAACGGTGATCATCGTCTGCCCGCGTCCCCTTCCTTTTACCCGTCCCCCCTCCAAGATGCGCTGAAAAAAACCTTCCTCATTAGTCTCTACAGGCTTTCCTTGCCGCTACAAGAGGTGCTCCCGTTGAAAGGCTCTTGTGCGGAACACTGGCCGAAGAGACCCGCTTGCGCAGGCACGAGATCTTCGCTCTCCTGGCGCCTCTTGCTGTCTCCCTTCGCCGTCTCCCTTCGCCGCTTCTTCTGGGTGCTGCTGATGGCTGTGCGTAGTGTGAAGTCGGGCATGTCCCTCTACAGGCAGAATGCTCAAATATAGTCAAAAAGCAGTCTGGGGACGATTTTCCTGTGATGTTTTGACCATGCTTGAGAGCATGTTGGGACAGTTTTTTCTTATTGGTCGTCCAAAATCAGCCCGAAGGAGGACATGTCCGACCTACGAAGCGCACTGCTTCTCTCTTCTCTGTCCCTGGGCCGTGCCGCATTGTGTGGTGGCGTTCGCGGCTGGACGCCTCCTGGGCGCCTTGCTTCTTGGAGGAGGTGGGGGAGGGGGAGGAGGACAAGCTAGGTGCGCTCGCGTCATATCTGAAGTCCTACCCCTCCCTCCATCCTTTACCATGGCGTAGATCTCCTCTCTATACG